TCAGCCCTGGGGAAACGTTATTTTATTTTATATCTCCCTGGCTGGTCTGAAATTCTTTATGTAGACTAGGCTGGCATCAAACTCCTAAGAGATCCACCTGCTCTACCTCCTGAGCGCTGGGATTAAAGTGATGAGACACCACTCCCAGTTCAGTCAGCCTCTTTTAGAAGCTGAGATTTAGAATGAATTGTGCAACTGAAGTACTAGGCTTCCTTTGTTGTTGTTGTTGTGTGTGTAACAGGGTTTCTCTACATAGTCCTGATTGTCCTAGAATTCACTAGGTAGATTAGACTAGCCTTAGACTCAGAGACTCACCCTCCTCTGCCTCCTGTGTTCTGGGACTAAGGGTATGTGCCACCATGCCTGTTAAACTGGGCTTTCTTGCATGGATGTTTAGAACCTGATTGACTATATGTTTCAGGGATTGAGCCCTGTGCTCAGAAAGGGCAGTGCCAACCACTGGCTGCCCGTCCTTGCTCCTGTGATGACATTAGTGGTTGCCCTGCTGACTCTGACAAGAATCTTCTCAACTGCAGCCTCCAGCCCTGTCAGGAGGGCAAGCTGCGTTGCATTCTGGGTGATGTCTGTATCCCACACACATGGCGCTGTGATGGCCACCCAGACTGTCCTGACTCCAGTGACGAGCTCAGCTGTGGTATGTGCCCTGGGTCTCGGTGTATCTGTGTGGGTGGGGAGGGCTGGCTGTGACTGAAGGACATTTAGTGCCTTCGCCTGTGTGACTAGGCTGAGGATGTGAACACATGCATCCTCCCAGGACCTCATGCTTGTGGTGGAGGACAAGACATGAGGAGTAGTGCTTCCCTCCCAGCTCCACTCAGTCTTCTATCAGGATGAGTTCTAAGAGTTGGCACCCGGAACCCTTATGCACCCCACCGCTAAGCCTCTCAGCTGCTGATGCCTGGGCGTATTGCAGACACCAACACAGAAACTGTCAGGATCTCCCAGAAGGATAACACCACAGCTACAAGGACTCCTCTGACCCTGGAGAACGAGACCTCTCTCAGGAATGCAACAGTTGCCTCTGCTGGGGACCCTTCCCGAAACCCAAATGCCTATGGGGTTATTGCAGCTGCTGGTAAGATAGGCCTTCCCACGTGAGGAGCTTGGGATGATTGGAGGGGGCACACAGTAGACTGCCCACGGATTAGCGTTGATAGCTTCTTCCCTCCTTGCCCCACCTCTGACCATCTCTCTGTCCCCCACAGGGGTGTTGAGTGCCGTCCTGGTTTCTGCCACCCTCCTCATATTGTTACGACTCCGAGGTCAGGGTTACCTGTCCCCGCCAGGGCTGTTGGTGGCTGTGAAGGAGTCTCTGCTGCTGTCAGAAAGGAAAACCTCACTGATCTGAGGACACGTGGTCACCACCTGGCCCTGAGTGCAGTCAGACTGGGGGCAAAGCCACAGTGGAATACACAGACAGCTGCTGGCTTCTCGAGACCTGGGCTCTTTTGGCCACAGAGAACTTTGATTTTAAGCTCCTACAGACATGATTCTAGAGACTTGGGGTCCTCAGGTATTCCCGTTGTGTGTGGGTAGCTTGGATGGAGAATTGCCATAGCCAGGACTGAGGGCCGGCCCCAGGATGCTCCCAAGAAGTGGGGCCACCCTGGCTTAGACACTCCTGCTGCTCACATTGATGGGTGGTGATTAAAGTTTTTTCCTCCTATGCTTGCCTCTAGCCTCTTTTTCCCTTGGCCTGGGGTCTCTTCGGGATCTCCTTTTACTAAGAGGGGGCCTTCAGCCAAGAGAACATGGGGCTGTGTTCTAGACATGTCCTCTACTACCCTGCCTCCTGCGTAAGGTGGAGCTGGGTGTTGAGCCCACCTGTGTTAACAGTGGGCTTAATGGAAGAAGAGGAGAGCCGAGGTATTCTCTCCTCATTGGGGATTCCTCTGTCATGGTTGCCTCTCCTGTGATGTGGAAGCTGGGCAATCCTGGTTTAAACTTGGCTATTCCCTGGTTTTGCATGACCACATCTGAGCACTTGGGAAGGGGAGGTAGGAGAATTAGATGTAAAATAGGCTTGATGGTCCATACCTGTAATCCTAGCTCTGGGGAGGTTAAGGTGTACAGGTGTGGAGTTCAAGGAATGTCTGGGCTACACAGGGAGGCTTTGTTTCCTCTCTTCCCCAGATTCCAGATGCTTGTGCATGAACAAACAGAAAAAAAGAAATGGAATTAACATGCAACCTGACTTCTGAATAACAAAGCATAACTCTTCTCAGACTCTTAGCTCTGACATTCCTAGTGAAATGGTGGGGACTGTTGGAGTCCACCCACTGGCAGAGGAGGTACCTCTCTGGTATATTTGGTGGCTCTTATTAACCTGAGGTCTCATGATGAGTAAGCAGGAGGACCTGAGTTCAGATCCCCAATACCTTTGTAGAAAGCTGGGTTTGCCTGTAATCTTACTGCTGAAGGTGGGTATGAAGCTAGGAGGATGCCAGAGACTTGCTGGCCAGACAGTTCACCCTGAGAGCTTGAGTTCAGTGAGAAACCCTGTTTGAAAGATAAGGGGAGGGGCTTGGGATCTGCCTCAGTGTTTAAAGCACTTGTTGCACAAGTGTGGAAACATAGTTTGGATCCCCAAATCATATAAATGATGGGTGAGTGTTGCCCTGTCTGTAATTTTAGCCTCAAGAGGCTGGGGCAGGATCCCCAGAGCAAGCAGGCTAGTAGATCCTGCCTCATTGAATATGATAGAAGAATTATCCAGGATGATTCCTGTCATCAACCTCAGATGTCCACATGCACACGCATGCATAAATGTGCATGTGTACTCCCCAGTGTGTGCCCACACACAGGCATACATGCACACTCCTCCATTCACAAACTCTTAAACCTCAGGCTTCAGTATACATGTGTATACATTTATACTTGCACATATGCGCCTGCACATACAACTATACTCACTGCCTCTGTCCCTCCGTCCCTCTCTCTCTGTCCCTCTTGAGTTACCACCCAGCCCAGCACAAGCATACAAATCTCAGTGAAAAGAACTCCTGGAGCTCTGGTGCCTGGGTGCAGAGGGAGGGAGTGGGAGTGAGTGTGAGTGGGAGTGTGCACCAGGAAGGCTGGAGGTAAGAAGGTGCAGAGGGAGGGAGTGCGAGTGTGCACCAGGAAGGCTGGAGGTAGGAAGGTGCAGAGGGAGGGAGTGTGCACCAGGAAGGCTGGAGGTAGGAAGGTGCAGAGGGAGGGA